ATAATAGAATTGTGCAATAGATTAAATGATTTAGGATTAGCTGGAATTACAACAATTATTAGATTAAAACAATCACGAATTAAATACTGGAAACCTCTCAATCTGTTCACATGTAACTAAAGATGGATTCCTAAAGAGGAAGATAGGGACAAAAATCAAATATCTTTTATTAGGAAATATTAAAATTTTTAAATTAATAACTATAAAAAAATGATTCATATTTGTTTTTCCTTATTCAAATCATTGATTTATAATATTTTCTAACTTTTGTCCCTATTAAAATAAAGAGCTATGGATTTTGTTTCTCAAAAAAAAACATAAGTGATTTGTGAAATTTTACATATTAAATACTTTAGAGACCCATCATTATATATAATACAATAAATTATTTTTCAAAAAGGATCAACTTCACATTACAAGTATTGAAACTAACCAAAGATATGAAAGTAATTTTCTATAGTTAGAAGTAAAATGATGTCTTTAATTGGAGTATTAGAAATAGTCCAATTAAAAATTATCTAATAATAGATAAATACAATAAAGCCATTCTATTACTCAAATACAATAAGTTGATGTATATAGATCAGCTTATCAATTATGAAACTAGAGAAGTATGGGACTGGCAAATGCTTTAACTCTTACAAAAGACAAGTAAGGGACCTATTCCAGAATGGTACTTGTCAATAATAAGGGAGATGTAAAGAAACAAGTTAAAATAGCTCATAAGATTTTGAAAAGAAAATTGATTAAAGTGGAGTTCAGAATATTCAGTACTTAATCTCAATTTTGATAAAAGGTAAAAACTTTAGATGGTCATCAAAAGCAATAAACAGTAGTGATAGTCACCATATTACCAGTAGTATTAGTTAATAGCAAGGTCAAAATCCATGCTGATAGCCAAGCCTATATCTTCAAATAGAAAACTATAGAAAAGGTAAATTCCAAAAAAACTTATAAAAGATGGCTAAAGGAACAAAATTAGTTTTTGTAGTATGAATATTAAGCCTGATAAAGAAAAAAGAATTAGATCTAAATTTTATCAAGATTAAAGTACACTCCAATATTCAATACAACAAGGAAGAAAAAATTCTAACCAAAAAAGTGCTAAAGTTCTTAACAATAGAATGGCAAAATCTGGACTCACCTAAGATTATTACTAAAATCAAATGGCAAGATATAGGGCTGAATGTTCCAATAAGGCAGTTTATTAAAAAATCAATATCAAAATAATAATGTACCAATAGATAACTCAAAATAGAATAGACAAAAAGTGAGATCATCAAATTTAAGACTAGCACAGGCACATATAGGACCTAGTTTGGAAACAAATGAATAATATATATACATGAAATAATTCTTTCAAAGGATTACAAAAAAAAGCTTTCTTGTTAAGATAATCAGTGACGAATTATTCATATTAATAAAGCTAGTCACAAGAAGATTAGACTTATACAAGCAAGTAAAATATCTTGCATGTAAATAGCAAGAAGAGACAATAGAACATTTGCTAGAATATTTAGTATACAAAACTCAGTGGCAAGAAACTTGACAGAAGAATATAGAAGATATGATGCAAGGTTTCAACAAATTTCTAGTAGATAGGAAAAAAAAGTCAGAAAAAAAAGAAATAAGTCTGGCAATTGATGACAAAATTAAAAGAGGAGAAATAGATAAAAAAATAGCTCAACTAGTAGAAAAGATTTTAAATACTGGTTGGGATATACTTAGCTTCTACATGAAACTGATTGAAAAAGATCTAATGTTTAATATAGCAGACTTGAAGTGCTATAGAAAGAGAATCAGTAAAGAAGCAAAAAAGTGGATAATAAAAATACAGAAGAAAATATATAATCACTTCAGAAAAAAATTTTGAAATGTTAGATGTGAGAAAGTGATAAAGTGGGAATAGACATTAGGAATTAACAGAGGTAACAAGATTAAAAGACTGACACATTTACAGAAGCAAAAAAACAGGATCAAGGTATCAGAAAATTAGTTATATCAAGTATCATTAAGGAAAGAAGAGTTAAAAAATACAATGCTTAAACAGGTTCTGTGAGATAGGGCAAAGTATAAAATGAAATAGTTGTGTTTTAATCTTTGTCAGAACTCAAAAGAGTGATCTGCAGGCAATGATGTTAGAAGTTGGAAGGATATTTACCTGAACTTCTAACAAAGCAATAAATTATTCCTAAAGTTATACTTAGAAAGATAAAACAACTAAAATGAGTGAGTTAATTAAAGAATTAGCTTTAGCATCTTATATTATATATACAGCTTACAAATATTTAATAAAGCATATTTAACTAATCAGACAAAGGACAAAAAAAAAAAAAGGTTCTGACTGTAGATTAAAAAAAAAAAAATAAATTAATTAATTATTCTAGGAATAATTTATATAATATTATACTATAAATATTTATTTAATATTATAATAAAATATGTTTTTTTATATATTTGCTCTTTTCCTTAATCCTCTAATCACATATAAAAAAGATGTTTGTAAGAAGTTTTTTTATTTTTTTGCTAATAAAGTCTTAATACTTTTCATCAAACAACATAAAATCTGACTTCAAGAATTATTTCTATATTTTCTCTATCATTTATAAGCTTCTTCATTCAAAAATTTGACTTTTAATAATCAAGAAAAGTCAAGTAATACCATTGATATCAATGACAAGAAAGTTTCCAAAGAAATAAGAACTGATTGTAAAGTATTTAAAGATTTTTTTAATCTTTGAAGTGAAAGATTTTCAGAGATTTTGTTGCAATTAAAAGATTTACTTTTTTTCTTTTAAACTATTTTAGTCTTCTTGAAGCTTTCACTTTCATAATTTTCTAGGAAATTTTGTTTATCTCATTTTGATTCTAAATTTTTGATAGCATAAATTCTTATTAAAGATAATTGACCAACATGAAACATGTTAATTTCTGAATATAAATAAGTTCTTATTGGTTAAATTCATGTGTTTTAATAATGTTATTAATAATTGAAAAGAATATTTTAAAAACATTTGTCCTTAAAAAACTCAAGTTCCTTATAAAAACTTCCATAATATCAAAAGATCAAGTAATGGATAATATGAATTGCAAACTCTTATCTTTTACTTAAGTTTCTCAAGTAGTAAGCAACAAAGCTTTAATGAAAAAAGCTGAGATATAAATATTTTTCTTAAGATATTTCAATCTGGTATTTGTTTAAATGAAGAACCAGTTAAATTGACTTGTTCAATGCTATAGGTGATAAAAAAAAGATTTTTTTTTGAGATTCAAGTGAAGCAAAAAGACTATTTCTATTAGGTAAATCCCTTTTGAAAAAATATTGTTTTTATTTTTGAATTTTTTTTTTTTTGATGAGCCTTGAATTGTTCTCTTTCTCAAATAGATTTTCCTTTTTCCCTTTTAACTTAGCAATTTATTGATTTTCAGATCAATTAACAATAATAAACTGTTGGCAATAATCCTAGTAAATAGAGGTCATTACCAATCTATCAGGGGAGTGTAATATTGTCTCCAAAATTTGATTAAGAGTACTTATGTATGAAGATGAGTTAGTCACTTTGTGAAAATCTGTAAACTATTGTAGATTTTATTTTAATTTCTCAATAAAGACAAGCCATTGTGATATGATTGTAGATTAAAAATAAAATAAAATAATAATAATAATAATAATAATAAAAATAAAGCATATTTTTATAATATGATTGTAAATTAAAAAATAAATAAATAAAGGATCAAAATAATCTTTACGAATTTTAATGGATTGCTATAAGAAAAAAAAAAGAGAGAGAAATTAAAGAAAAAAAATATGATTTGGTAATAAATAATATGGTAGAGAAGAAATTGAAAATATGAACAAATTAAAAAACCCAATTTCTAAAAATAACTAAAGCTTTTGTATGAAATTAATTAAAAATGATTTCGCATAAAATAAAGTGATCGAGTTTTAATTTGTCAAAACTTGAAAAAAAATTTTTTTGCAATATACTGTATATGAAAAAAAAAAAAATCTTGAATTAAACAATTCAAATTCAAGTCGATAAAATTTCTCAAATAAGCCCCTACATACGTACAGTATATACAGTATATACTGTAAATAGGTAATACCTAACTCAATTAAAGAATTCAGTTGTCCATTATGAAAGAGAGAGAACATGGCCAATTACGTTATAAATAAATTTTGGTACCAATTAATCGCAAGTTTAAACTCAAAAAAAAAGAGGACGCATGCGAACATAATTAAACAATTCGAATTTTCCGTATATATTCGTAAGGACAATTTTTCGTCGAATATTTCAAAGTTAGAACGATAAAAAAACAATAATAAACCATAAGTACAAGTAATTAACGTTTTGAGTTAAGATTCATTATAAAAATTAGTTGGCCGGTTTGTTGCTTGTCGCGAACTCTGAAAAAATTATTAATAATAATTAGGTAATCGAGTTTTATTAACAATAATGAAGATGATAGATAGCCTGGAATTAATCCAAAAACCAAGGAAACTGATTTGCTAGGATCTACAATACAGCTTTTGATCTATCGATCGCTATCCAATTTTCGTATATTACGACGATTCGGAATAATTTTTTGAATTCCATGCTCCCAAGTCTTTTAAACCTTCATGGCACCATTCCTTTTATGCTGTGAGCATGGGACGTGATGGTTAGTATCCGAATAAAAATGATTTTCATACATAGAATAGGATTTTTGATAATTTTGCTAGATGTAATAATATTTATAAGTTACACGTGTATTATTAGACGTTGAAAAAGGAATAATAAAAGCTATGATGTGAGAAAAATTAGGATGTTATTACTAGGAAAGAAGACATTAATATTTATATACTATGTTAAATCGAATTACGAAGAAAAAAAAAAATTTTTTTTTTTTTAGGAGGGAAGGATGATTCTGTTTTTCCTTGTTTTTCTTTTTTTTTGTTTTTGTTAGTTAATCGAAATCCAATGTAATGATAATTACAATAAAAATGAAACCATAAATTATTAATTATTCTTTTCCTCAGTGGTAGTTGAAGTTTCAACGACAGCTTCTTCCTCGATCTTCTCGCTTTCTCCTCCCTTAGCCTCCTCCTCGACTTTTTCTAATATCTCTTCGACGACTTTCTCGGTTTTCTCCTCGGCTTTCTCTTCAATTTTAACCTCGGTTACCACCTCGGTCGTCTTTACTGTTTCCACCTCAGTTTTGCTTTCGACTATTGTCTCCTCGACTTTTTGCACCTCAGTTATCTCAGTTTTGTCGTCGACTTTCTCCTCGGGTTTTTCCTCGGTCTCCGCACCCTTTTCAGCGTCGTCTTGGGCTTTTGATGATGATGATTGATCTTCGGGATTCGTTACTGGAAGTGATTTTTTGTATTCCTCAAGTTCATCGATCCATTCATCTCGCTCTTTTGTATTTTGGGCATACAGTTTGAAGTTCTTTGGTTTTGTCTCGATTTGGAAGCCCAATTCTCCGATCTTGGTGATCTTGACATCATGATTGATCTCAATCTTCTTTGGTTCCGAATCGTCCTTTTTACCCTTGTAGTAGTTTAGGGAACCTTCTTGGGTAAATACAAAGTATCGTTGCTCGTATGATGATTTCATTAAACGATAACCTGATTTATTTAGACAACCGTGTTTGCGGGGAGGGTTCGTCATCTTTTTTAGTACTACGTTCTCGGATTCTTCATCCGTTGCCTCGGCGGCTGATGTAATGGCATTATCTGTCGTGGGTTGTGTGTTGGGCTTTACTTCTTCTTGTTGTGATGGGTGTGTATGTTTACTTAACCTAGTAGAAGAAAACCTACACTATAAGTCGCTGATGAATCACGCGGTTTAACATCAATAACCAGTCATCGTTACCAGCATACCTCTTAAAAAGTGAAGCTTTTTCCTTCTTCTCTTCTTTCTTTTCCTCTTTCGTCTCTTCCTCCTTCTTCACTTCGCTGATCTCCTCCTTCTTCACCTCGCTGGTCTCCTCTTTATTTTCTTCGGTGGAACTCCCCGCCACCACTTCTTCTACCTTCTCTACCTTCTCTACCTTCTCTGCCGTTTCCACGACAACCTCTTCGGCAGCCTCTTCTTCAACTTTGACTTCCTTGACCTCCCTAGTGGAATCACCACTGCTCTCTTTCCTAAATACTTTTGTGATCTTGCGGATCAATCCAACAGGTTTCCTTGCGTTGGAACCCTCCGGTTTCGCACCATCATCAATCTCCTCGGTGGTGGTGGTGGTGGTGGTGGTGGTGGTTGTTTTCACGTTTGTTTCCTCGGTTACCACCTCGGTCGTCTTCGCTCCTTCTTCGACAACTGCCTCGCTCGTGATCTCGGTCTCTGTGTGTAAGAATGAACGGAGATATTTCGTTAGTTTCTTTTTTTTTTCACGTGTATTCCGATGATGACCAAAGTGACCATTGCTTGCTTACGTTCTGCGGTTTCAACAACTTTTGTTTCGCCGTGAGCATCATCCTTTCTGCCCCAGAACCTGAATAAGTACGACTTTTGGGGAGTAACGGGACTTGTCTCGGTCTTCTCGGTTTTCTCGACATTAGTTTCAGCGGTTTCTTCGGTTTTCTCAACGGCGACAGTTTCGGCGACGGTGGTAGAAGGAGTGGTGGCAACGGCGGTGGTTTCTTTTTTCTTTGATCCAAAAAAGTTGAACAAACTAGGTCTCCTGTCTCCTCCGGTTTTGACTTCCTCAGTTGTCTCGGTGGTGGTGGTGGTGGTGGTGGTGGTAGCAGTGACAACAGCAGCAGAACTACTGCCTTCAACCGTTTCAGTTACTTCGGTGGTGGTGGTGGTTTCAGTTTTATCAGTTTTATCGGTCTTCTCGGGTTTCTTGGAAAAGAAATTGAAAGTAGTTTTGCGTCTGTTCTTTATTTCAGTGTCCTCACCCGAAGTGTAGTTTTCCGAGTCGGAGGTGACGCCAGAATCCTTTAAGAAACGATCTTGATCTGTGAGGACGCGAGACAAGCGCATTAGATTTTTAGATCCGAGCATGTTTCCGAACAGCGATACAACGAATGAGAAGGCAAAGATATGAATAGTCTCGCGTCAACTTACAAACTTGATTGTACGTATTCTTGTACTCTTCTGTTTCCGGAAGAGGAAATTCTTTCGACTGTTGGGTCCTCGCGAGGATGGTGGTTATCCAACGTTTCCTGGTGGTCTCGCTGTCGGCCACCAATGAATACTCGCGATACTTTGTAATTATTTTAAATTCATGTGCTCCGTTGCTTTCTTTGACATCCTCAACGAATTTTAAATTGATGATGCCAAGCGGTTCTTTCATGTGTTCCTTGGACTTATAATAAAACAGGAGACCTTTTCCGGTTTGGGTGGCATGGGCGATGTTGGTGGAAAGGAGGTGGAGAAGGGAATTCGGTTCATCATGTTTTGCCTGTATAACTTCAGCGTTCTCCTCAGTAACGGCAGCCGAAGTTGTGGCTTTATCTTCGGCAGGGGTTTCCTTACCCTCAGGAGTTGCACCAATCGAGCCAGAAATTTTTATGGTCTTACGGAATTTCTTATAGTATTGACGAAGATTTTCCTGAGGAACCTTTGATTCACCGGTACCAAAAGCGAAATAGCGAGAATTGTGAAAAATGTGAAGACCCTGAGAATACTTTTCTAAGGTGCCCTCTTCAATTTCTTCAATTGGAGCATCTTCGGTATTTTTGGAGGTAGGTGGTTCGGTGGTAGGCTCACCCTCCTTGGGAACCTTTTCGGGTTCAATAACTGCGCCGGCGGTGCTAGAGTTGGTGACCTCGTTTTCAGTCATTATTGTGAATAAAGAGAATGGTCGTTCAAAGAAATACTAGATATATAACCGATCGATTGATGAATTTAAATATCTTTTTTTTTTATTATTATTATTACTATCAGCTAACACGGAATCAACGTCCGTCCTATTTTTTTTTTTTTTTTTCTGGTGAAAGAAATAAAAGTAGATGATGGTGAATGGAGAGAGGAAAAGGATGAAAATTCTGGGATAACCAAAAAAGAAATGTTGTTATTAAATATGTAATTAAAAAAAAAAAAAGAAAAAGATAGGTTATATATAAATTAGTATATAGTATGGATAGACAATATAAGAAGGACCACTTTTGGTAGGAAAAAAAAATCAGGCTGAAAATTTTTTTTTCTGGAGAAAAAGGAAGGGATGTGATGAAATGGGCAGAGAAAGGAAACTTGGGGAAGTAAGAGAATCTCAACGAGGTTATAACAGGTGTCGACCCAAGAAGCAACCAACCAAATAAAGGGGTTAAATGGTCATTTGGGTGACACGAGAGGATCAAGCGAATTTTCTTGTGCACGGATGATAAGTGCGTTCGACGTCGCGCTGTTTATCGTTGTGAAACGATTATTTATGAAATTAATTTAGAATACGTATAACCTCATTACGTAAACTTTTATGAACGAGAGAGTAACATAAATAAAAAAAGAGGTGATTGTGGAGTGGGCATTTGCAAAAAGACAACATTGATACCGCACATCGTGCTCACTAGTCGCCTTAGGGTGGAACAAGGAGAGAGAAATATTTTTTTAAATATAGGAAACATGCAATTCATTATTATTTGTGTTTAAAAAAAAAAAAAAAAGATTTTTTTTTTAAATGATGACCTGATCAATAATCAATCGTGCATTGCGCAATAAAATTGAATACGTAAACTCTTTTCCAAAAGTAAACCAGAATCAGGCGCAGTGCGTGTGGTGAGTGAGTGAGTATATGTGTGTGCGTGTGCGTGTGTGTGATACACTATGTGAGAAAGAACTAAAGAGAAAAAAAAAAAAAAAAAACCAAAGTTTAATTAATATGCATCCAATTGATGGAAGAGTGATTCTGGTGGTGACGGACGAGTGATACCAAGAAGTGTAGCGCTCTCCAATTCGACCAAAGAATCATAATAAATTAATTATTCATATACACGACATAAAGATTTGCATACAAACTGTTTTAAACTCTTCAGCTGACACAACATCCAATCTTCCTCTGCCGTCGGCCTCTCTCTTACACACCGGCAAGGAAAGAGCTGAGCTGCATAAGACATCATTAATCACCAGCACACGCACATGATGAAATTCGTACTGGCTGGTTTGGTCATACGCAATAATACGCGCGGTTATACATACCAATAATGAACTAGTGCAACGGTGGCACGTGAATAACAAACAATCGGTTCCATATTGTCGTTATGTGCGTTATGTGCGTTAGGTGCGTTAGGTGACAGAGTTGCCAATCATCCGCCTTCCCTCCGAATTCGAATTATATGAGAGTTATGCGCAATACACACTCACAGTATGTACAATTACTGGTTATGGTACAATAGAGAGGACGTTGAGGTATTGGCTGCTTTGTTCGTCAATTATGGAATCTTTAATATAATTAATAATTAAATATCAAAAATACGTCCCTCGTTGTTACTATGAATTATGAAATTTGATGATTCAGTGACATGCTTGTTATACCGAGTCTAAAAGGTGTGTTATCAATACTCGCACGCGTATTCCCTTTAAAATAAAATAAATAAATAATCGAACCCGGCGGGTACAGAATTAATGCGTTTTATTGCCATCCGCCTCATAGTCAATTACTTCAAAGAGAGGGTGCATACGGACACGGATTTTTCGATCCCGCCAATTTCCTTTCTCCATTTCCCTAATTGCATATACCATATTTTATTATTCATTCGTTCATTTTCCTATTTACTTAATTTGCTCACTTATTCATTGAACGATGATTGGGGATAAGTTCGTCTGGAAAATTTTGCGCTGGAATTTTGAAAAAAAAAAAAAAAAAAAAAAAAAAAAAAAAACGTCCTTTGGACCTCCCCCTCTTTTTTGTTGTGCACGTGCAATAACAATTGACAGTCCCGATCGCCCGAGATATCCTCATCCTGGCCGGAAGATGACTTTGATCACGTGATCGCGTGTCACATAAATGATATAATCTTCGGTTTTTGTTTATTACGTACTGTACGTGAGATTACGACAAACAGATCATATACATTAAAAAACGAACAGGTCCTAACAATACATCTATTTACCGAACAGGAATATAAAAGTATCTCGAGCCAAAATATGGTAATGATCGCTCACCCATTATCCTTATTATCCGTTGTCAATCGTCGGATACATACGGTATTGTTCTCAAAGACATTATTCGCAGGGGAAAACACTTCCCTACGCTTTTACGCCATTGCTGGTGTGTCGGTCGGTTCATCTATACTTCATTTTGCGTCTAACCAATTTTGGCACAACATCTCTCAGCGAGTCGCTTGATGAGGTCACGTGGACTTGCATATTTTTAGTTTCTCCGCATTCGTCAGCCAAACCTGTTTGAAACCTTTCAAACCGAATCCGGTTGCGAATATGTACTTTTATGGTCTTATTGCGTGTCAATCGTCATCTCTCTCCATCTCGGTGTGACGATTAGCCCGCATAGTTTACAATGAGCCGTCCTTTCCGTTTGGAAAATCACGCGTTTTGTTTCATTCATTAAACATATGCAATAATGAAAATATTGTACGTGGGAAAAGCCCCAACGGAGTTGTCATTGCACGAATCATTGTTTTCATTGTTTATTACACATATTCCTTTGTTATATTGGTATACACTTATCTATCTCTCGAACGACTTCGACACGCTCATGCACACATCTCCGTAAATCATTATTCCAATTACGTATGCTTGATCAAATGCCTAAGATGTGTCGGTTGCTTGCATGCGTGAAAGGTAAATTTTCTAATTTTTTGTTGAAATGAGCAATCCAAAACGATTATTGTTCGATGGAAGTCTACAGATCATCATCATCCGTAATTTCAACTGATCATAGAGATATGTGCATACAGAAAGGAAAAAAAAAAAAAAAACAAAACGCCAATTCGATAATGATTACGTACGGGCCCATCTACGCACAATTTCTCGTGCTTGCGCTTACCCACTCCAAGCCCTTTGGTTTTGATCCGCAAGTTGAGTCACACCATCTCATGGTTTTCTTCTAATACGCTCAGTGCGTGTGCAACCAGTGACCAACTCTCGTGTGGCTGTTTAATTAAACCATAAATGTGAGCTGATGCTGCGACATGAATTTACCATTTTGCATTTTATTGATTTTCCATTTGGAATTTAAATCCCCCCCCCCCCGAAGTAAAACGAATAAATAAATACAGTAAATAAATGCCATCATACTAAAGATTTCCGAGAAGCTTTGTGAAAATTACTAGGCGAGTTCGACACTAAAAGAAAAAAATCCCAATTGGTTTGGAAATTTTAATTTCAATCTAATCAACGTCGACATTTAGAATTTTTCACAAAAAGATATTTGCACCGGTATTCATACACTGTACGTAAGGTATACGAAACATTGTAGTGAAGTAAAGAAAGAAAGAAAATATTAAATTCGAGATTTATTTAATCATAAAAATTCGAACAACTTAAAATCCACATTTTGAAATTTCCATTATATACGGCATCATTAAAAACTTTAAATGTTTATAATTAATATCTAAAAAAATTACTAATCAAAAATTATTATTATTTTTTTTTTTTTATTTTTAACCGGCAATCCTCCATTATAATGTGTCTTTATTGAGACATTGAATAAATCTCTATATTACAGACTTTCACATGACAATCAACTTGTCATTATATATTATTAGTTAAAGAATCTCAATAAAATACTTTAATTTGAATTTAGAAAATGTTGTTATACTCTCTTAATAATTTAGTACTAGATCTTTAACCATTATCGATAATTTATTGCTGTTAATTATTTTTAAAAAATAATGAATTACCAAAGTATAATCGAAAAAATAAAAAAAGAAAACTATTCAAAACTTTATCAAAAGATTTTTAATTCATTTAACAAAAGAATTTTATTTGATTAGAATACTTTCTAACTTTATAATATTTGAAAAACTTTTCTATTCTTGAATAATTTCAAAAAAAAAATTTTTAATTGATAATTCGTCAATAAAAGATAATCAACAATAATATTATATTAATATTCATTGAATATACAGTACAATTGATCCAAAATATAAATAATAAAAATGCTTTAAATTTTGATTTTTATAAAAAAATATTTTTCAAAACTTTTATTTTTATCCTTATTATATTAAAAATAAAGATTTTTAAGGTAAACACAATAAATTTATAATTATACTAATCTAAATTTTTTTATTTTCAATTAACTGAAACTTTTTTTTTATTTATCTTACCTATTAAAAATATTATCTATCACTTCTTATTCTTCAATATTTCTAAAAACCATGTTTTCTTTATTTATATCAATAATTTCAAAATCTAACCTAATTATATTTCTTTAATTTTAATTACTTTCTATCATTGCAGTCTAATTTAACTCACTAGTTTTCTATCTTTCTTTAATAACAAATATACCATATATACTGTTCACTAATATTAGATAATTAAAAAGTCAAATATCTTGACTTTAGAAACTTTATTAATTTCAAGTTTACTTTTTTTTATTAATTTATTTAACACTTTTACCATCTTCTTAACTGACATACAATATATTTGGTTTTATCTATATTATTGATAATAAAATGGTTTTAGGTAATTTTTACTTTTTCTCTTATTCACTTTTCAAAATTACGCCTTTTTAATTTTTGTTTATTTTTCAATATTCAATTATACATAAAAAAAAGCTGATTTAAATATGAAATTACTTGATTTACTTTTATCTATTTAACTAAAACTACTGTCAAAAAATTATAACTAATTCTTTATTTATGAATTTTTACTTATCTTTACTCT